AACAACCTCCATTCTACTGGCTGGTGAAGTCTGTTCATGCCATTTCGGGGTGCAGGAGATGGGAAAATCCCGACGCGTCGTCACAGCCCATGAGGAGGGTTCCAGAGCATAAAGGATGCCTTGGCCAGGGAACCCGAGCTGGCCAGCCCAGATTTCAACAAGCCCTTTTGGTTGTGCACCGATGCCTCTAACATTGGGTTGGGGGCGGGGTGACGGATGGGTTGGGTCTGGGCACTGCTGAGGGTGTCCGCTCAGGGCTTATTGCTCAAACTCGGGGCTCTCTCTAGCCCCTGACTGGTGGCCCTTCCCAAATAGACCACAAACTAGTCGCACAGAGCCCATATGAGTGCCTCAGCCTTGGGGTCAACCCAGCGAGGGGCCCCCCATTGCCAGGGCCCCTGTGCTGTAGTGGGGGTGCTGTTCAGGCTGCTTGGGCATTCACTGGTCACTATGCTTGGGCTGTGGCCTGTGGGTGACCCCTACTGGCCGGTGTCTGTAAGCACTGCCTCATGTCACATAGACCATGGCCCAACCGGTTCTCACCTGGCCAGAGGAAGGAGTTTGACAAAGGGAGGGGGGGCTGCCTGGGGGAGGTGTGTTCGGTGGTTTGGAGACCGGGCAGGATGGGCTGGGAAACATGAAGCGAAGAGACTAAATCGGGCACTGGGGGTTCAGGGGCCTGTGGACCCCACCCCAAGGGGTCTGAGGCTGCCTGGGCCCTCACTCCGATGTCCACATCAAACCTCGGAGAAGCAATAAACCCTCCGTATTCTCCTGGCTGGCAGAGTCACATCTGGCTGCAGACGGGGTTGCAGGATCGGGGGTGCCCGACACGCCGTCACACTCCTCTTTGGGGAACACTCCTCCTCCCAGCTCCATCGCACAGAGCCCATATGAGTGCCTCAGCCTTGGGGTCAACCCAGCGAGGGGCCCCCCATTGCCAGGGCCCCTGTGCTGTAGTGGGGGTGCTGTTCAGGCTGGTTGGGCATTCACTGGTCACTATGCTTGGGCTGTGGCCTGTGGGTGACCCCTACTGGCCGGTGTCTGTAAGCACTGCCTCATGTCACATAGACCATGGCCCAACCGGTTCTCACCTGGCCAGAGGAAGGAGTTTGACAAAGGGAGGGGGGGCTGCCTGGGGGAGGTGTGTTCGGTGGTTTGGAGACCGGGCAGGATGGGCTGGGAAACATGAAGCGAAGAGACTAAATCGGGCACTGGGGGTTCAGGGGCCTGTGGACCCCACCCCAAGGGGTCTGAGGCTGCCTGGGCCCTCACTCCGATGTCCACATCAAACCTCGGAGAAGCAATAAACCCTCCGTATTCTCCTGGCTGGCAGAGTCACATCTGGCTGCAGACGGGGTTGCAGGATCGGGGGTGCCCGACACGCCGTCACACTCCTCTTTGGGGAACACTCCTCCTCCAGTCTCCAACTAGGACAAGCAGCAAGGGGCTTAAACTGCAGCAAGGGAGGTTTAGGTTGGACATTAGGAAACACTTCCTGCCTGTCAGGGTGGTGAAACACTGGAAGAAGTTACTTAGGGGCAGGGCCGGCCTTAAGCCAATTCGGCCGATTCAGCTGAATCGGGCCCCACACCTAAGGGGGGCCCCTGAACCCAGAAGTGCCGGAGAGTTACAGAGCCAGAGGCCCTGCTCCAGCAAT